GGTTGTGTAACAGTTAAATCTGTGACCTTAGGAGGTGGAGGGACAGCAAAGGGGTTCCTTGAAGTGTCACTACAGTTACAGGCTAGCAGTTTACAGCGGGATGCTGACCACTGCTGTGGGCAGGTAGGGAGCACTCATCACCAGCCAGGAATAGTTCCAAGAGTTTCACGCGTATTAACTAACTGGGTGACTACAGGCCGAAGTCCCTGGCCTAGAGCCCAGAGGGTTGAGGTCTAGCCTAACTCTGTTCTAACTATTGGGGGGGGGACTCTTTGGCCTCAACTCTTTGATGAATCCTATTGGACAGCTCTCAAGGTCCCCAGAACTCAGCATCCCATGTAACTCCTGATGTTTAATTAATATCAGCTTGCTAGAGAGAGACCCCGAGCCTGGGGATCCCAGATCTAGGGTTATAGAAGAGTTCCCAGATCTGGGCCTTTGGCACTAAGTCCATCTACCTTTCCTTCCATTGGTTCATTTGTAGCTGACTTCTAGCGTTTCTAGAATGGCCCCCCTTGAAGACAGATTCCAACAATCCAATGTAGAATTCCACCTTTCCCTCTGCTTCCCTTTTCACCTCTATCCACCATCCCTCTGAGCTCACACTCCCCTCCCTTCTTATTGCTCTGTCATTAAAACTCCCCAGACCCTGCAAAGCCCCGACAGCAGCACTGCGCAGGGAGAAAAACAGTGGATTTAATAAGCTTCCCCTTAAATGGCCCCAAATCCCTTCCAGTGATGGGGGTGGGGTGGGGCCTCAGTTTGTAGACAGGACAGCCTCCTGGTGCAGGAGGTGAGAGAGAGAAAGAATAAAGAAGTTCCTGAGATCCTGGGCCTCGGGGACCAAATTAAAAAAGCGACACCCCTTATTCAAAATCAGATGAATGTCAGTGGGATGTTTGTCAAACAAACTTGTCATTATTTGTCACAATTTGAGGAAGTACCAGTCACCAGTCACACTTGAGCGCGTAACAGTTATTTATAGCTGCCAGTCTACAGTTATAACTAATGCAGGGCCAAGGTTCGACGTTCTAAACAGCTTTATTTATAATGATTGTGTGGCTATAAATAGTTTGGTTTGCTGGGTGTAGCAAAACAGCTCGTTCTGTTCTGTGGAGCCGGAGCCAGGAGAATTCGAGAGCAGGGAGGTGACTCCCATCTTGCCTCTCCTTGGCGGACCCTCTGCTAGGCCTCGGCTAGGAGGGGGTCATCCTCTTCCTCAATGAGCCTTTTGGGAAGAGGAGCTGTGCTGGGCCGTGCTCCCAGGAGACAGTAGAAGTTATTCAATTAATTAACATCTTGCCTGAGATCTCCGTGGGAGGGTTGCAGAGAGAAGGTTGCAGGGCGCCGCCTCCTCGGTGCCTGTTCATGGACAATGAGCTAATTACAGTCTGCTTCTCCTGCTGCAGGGCGGGGGAGATATCCTGTTATTCTAGTGAGCAGGCGAAGCTCTAAAGGTTTGTTTATTGCTTCAGATTTAATTTGACCGACAGCTATAGTCTCTTCCTAAAATAAGTGGTTGTCAGAAATTTAGGAATTCACTAGTTTCTTGTGTCAGCAGAACCTTGTCTGGGGAAGGGGTGGGGGGCAGGCGAGAGGAAAGGGAATATGTATAATATATAAATTTCACACGTAAAATACACAGGTATGTCAGCTTAAAAACTGGTATGTTACCGCTTTGCAGGGGGACAGTATTTTTACCAAGCGCAGGCCAACCTCCACTCCCCACCCTCCAAGATGCTAATCTATTTGTCACATGGAAATTTCTGGCACTATACATATCTCCACTGCACCCCACTCCCAAATGCCTGACCTGCAGTTTTAATACGGTTAGGATAAATATTATTTTGCTATTTTTTTTTGCAAAAGCAAAGGTGTGGCTCTGACAAAAATTTATTGGACCTTAATTTGCCAAATTAGTTCTGGTTCATTTTATGGCTGTAATTTAATATTCATAATGATTTTCTGACACATATGTTTTAGCAGCAAGATCTACTTCCTATTCATTTTTCATTTCAGTACAGCTGGAGTATATTAGGCAGGATGGTACAAATCAGAGCGAGCCGTGCCCTGCGAGAAACTGCCACCACGTTGCCCACTTGGCCTCCTCCCAGACACACGCCGAGCGCCTGTGAACGTGCAAGGAGGCACATCCAGGGGTTGGGGCAGAAGGAGATAAGCAAGCAATAGTTCTCAGAAAATAGATTACATTCTTTCTTTCTTTTAAGATTTATTTATTTATGCATACAAGAACTGGGGTACAGGCCAGAGGTGTGGGGGGTGAGAGGATTCACCAGAGACAGAGTGGGGAGCAGAACAGGCGGATCCACTGGAATCCGCTGCTGAGGGGAGCAGTGGGTGAGGATCCCTCATGCTGCAGAGGCAGCGGATAGCTACATAGTGCTGTGCTTAACCACTTGTGCCACCAGGGAGGCCCGATGTTGTTTGTTTTTTATCAATATAGTATAGCAGCAGCAGCAGCAGCAGCAGCAGCAGCTTTGGTATCATCATCATCATTCCTGCAATTCTTTGTCCAAGGGTGCCGAGAGAGCCATCTTATTTGCAGCTCTCCCACTGACAGCATAGAGAGGACCATGCCTAAGCCAGCCAGTGATCACTCTGCAGGGTATGTGGATCACAGATGCGGAGGACCCAATGCCACGATTCCTTTAGGAGATGCATTTGGTCCTGACTTGAGTGCTGGGAAGACATCCTGGGGGAGGTGACCCCCTGGATGCTGGTTCCATGGGGCAGAAACTCTTTCCATACAGAAGCCTGGCATGGTGAGCACATGCTGTATATTTGCACAGAGCAAATGGAGCTCTCCTCTTTGGAGTTTGACAGCTCCTATTCGAGTACTTATGTTGTGCATTTGCAACACACAAATGAATGCATACATGTATTCACAATGGTTTAAAAATGAAAGCTTTGGAATCAATGTTTTTGTGCCCTTTGGGTGGACACAGAGTGGAATTGCTGGGTCATATGGTAGCTTCATTTTTAGTAGACTGAGGAACCTCCAGACAGCTTTCCACAGTGGTTGGACCAGTTTGTGCTCCCACCAGCAATGTAGGAGAGGTTCTTTTTCACCACATCCTTGCCAACATTTGTTGTTGCTAGTTTTTTGTTTTTGTTTTTTTATAAAAAGAACACTTGTACCGCTGTGTTTATTGCAGCACTATTTATAATAGGTAAAACCTGGAAACAACCCAAATGCCCAAAAATAGATGACTGGATCAAGAAGATGTGGCACATATACACCATGGAATATTACTCAGCAATCAAAAAAGATAAACTCATGCCATGCGCAGCAACATGGATGGAGCTAGAAGGAATTATGCTCAATGAAATAAGCCAGAAGAAAAAAGAAAAATATCCGATGGTTTCACTTATAGCAGGAATATAGCGGAACCAAATAAGACATCAATTTAAAAAAATAATAACAATACAAAACACAAGAAAGCAAAAACATATGATTATAAACCAGAGACATCCTGCAGGGGAGGAGGGAGAGGGATTAGAGGGAGGGAGGGAGGCGCACAGGGGACTGGGGTGATGGTGCATGGGTGCATTGGGGAAGGAAACTCTATGGGGACTCCACCTGAGGTGGGGGGAAGCAAATATTGTTTAGAAATGAACAATGATGTAAAAAATAAATTAAAAAAATAAAAATGAAAACTTAAAGAGAAGTGAGATTTCTGGGGTCTGTGCGCTAGGCGGGGGAGAGGACCTCTTCTGACTGATGCTCTAGCATTTCCCATAAACTCCTCGTTGGGTGATGTTGAGGGTGTCCAAGGCCACACAGAGGGAGTGAAATGGGACACTGTGCAGGTGAATGGATTTCAGTGGCCTGACAGGTCTTCCCTGCTCCCTCCCTGTTTATTCTGGGAGGAACTTTTAATCTTTCCTCTCCTGCCTGGGCTCCGATTCTGTGCTCCTGAAGGAGGTGGCTTTAAGCCAAAGAAGGAAGATGAAGACAAGGAAACGGATTCTAGCAAGTTTCTCCCTCATCTTGTCTTTCTTCTCCATGACTTTTTTGGATTACACGTAGCTCCATGATTATTTTCACTATTTTATTTTATTTTATTATTTTTTTAAAGAGGCATGTAAATTTATTTATTTATTTGTTTGTTTGTTTGTTTGTACATGCACTGGGTACAGTCAGAAGCGCGGGAGGGTGAGAGAATTCACCAGAGCCAGAGCAGGGAGCAGAGCAGGCAGAAGGACCGAAGCACACTGCTGAGGGGAGCAGCGGGCGGCAGGAGAGGTCTGCGCGCCTATTTTCACTATTTTAAAAAGAGCAATTCTCAATGTTTATTTTAAAATTGAAATAAGACATTTTTTCCACATTGCTTATTGGGGACAGAATTTAATATTAGCATTACCGAGCATATGATTTTAGCGAAGATTCTTGGAATTGGAAATGTGTTTCGCCAGTCAGGAATGACTTTTATTCCAGCACAACCCTATTTCCTAGACCTAGCGGCTACCATTCAAAGAAAACACAAGAGCACAATAACATATAAATCTGGGGCCTCCCTGGTGGTGCAAGGAGTTAAGCACCACACTATGAAGCAATCCGCAGCCTCTGCAGCATGAGTTCAATCCCGGGCCTGCCAGGGAACTACCCAGAGGCACAGCAGACCTCTCCTGACTCACCCACTGCTCCCCTCAGCAGTGTATTTCAGGCTGCCTGTTCTGTTCCCCACTCTGTTGCTGGTGAATTCTCTCACCCCCCCGCATCTCTGGGCTGTACCCCAGTTCTTGTAAGCATAAATAAATACATCTTTAAAAAAAAACCATAAATCTGGTAGATGGCTTTTACCTAATTTTCGTTTATTTCTATTTCTAAGAATAGTCCCTAATGCTGAAGACAGTTGAGGAGGATGTGGGGTAAATGTGTTAGCTTAGACTGTCTTGCCACTAATTCTTAGAATTGGGGCTGCTTAGTGCTTCAAGACACCATTCGCTTCTTGTACTCAATTTCTCTCCTTTTACAGATGAGGAAACTGAGCCTGGAGGACTAACTGACTTGCTCAAGGTCACTTGACTTCTAAGAGAAAGAACTGGGATGGAACCAAGGCCTCTAGCATCTCAGAAAAGATGAGTAATATTTGTTGGCAATAGGTGGACATGAAGATGCAGCCTGGAGGTTAAGGATGAGGGCTCTTGAGCCAGCCAAGTCAGGTGTGAACCCTGGTTCTGTTGCTACTTGTGAGGCAAAGGCACATTGCTTCTCTTCTTTGAGCCTCAGTTTTTTCATCCCTTCAGTGGGAACAATAATTATTCAAAACAGAAGTGTTGGGAGGATAAAAAGGTGTAATTCAGGTCCATTAGTTAGCTGTGGTTCCTGAAGCATGGGGTATATCCATGCGAAATGGAAACAACAATGAAAAACAAACCACAAAGCAAACAATTCTCTTTACCCCCCAAATAGGCTCCCTGTTCTTTGTCCTGACAGCATCTGTCACGGACATGTTCCTGGCGAAGTTTCTTCCTCCTGCATGTCCTTCTACTCTTGCTTATTTTCCTGGAGCGAGAAATACAATTGCCCTGCTCACCATTAGGCTTTGGGCGGACACAGATAGTCCCGATAGACTGGCGGTGGCAGGGGCAGGGATGGTGAGGGAGGGGTCCCGAGCGAGCAGTCCCATGAGCAAGAGGAATCCGATAAGTTAGCCAGGCCGGAAACCCAAAGGGTGGAAGTGATAGAAGGTCTGAGAGCTGTCCTGTGGGTTTCAGGTGCTTAGCTCAGCTACTGCTCATCATCACGACGGGAATTCTGCCCCCGAGATGGACACAGGGCAGCAGCTTTGAGGGACTGAACTCCATTTGGGAGACAGATAATTATAGAAGACTATCTCTGCTACGTCAAGCAAGTGAGGGCTTGGAACGTTCAGGTTGGGACCACAATCTAATCACACAATCTATGTAATTTCACAGGCATACTGGGAAATACTGTTTGCACATAAAATTATCCCGTTTAATCCCTTAATAACCTTTCAAAGTTTTTATGGTACTTTGTAGATCAGGAAAATGGAGGCCCCGACAGATTAAAATCACATGCTCAAAGTCACAGACATAAACGAAACCTGGACTGAAAACAAATCTCATTGATTTCAAAGGCTGCCCTGTCCGTGTCCACTAACCACACGAAACTTTACCTAAATGCATTTTCACTATCTCCCCACCCCCTTTAGTTCACTGGTGGAGATTCACTGGTGATGAGGTGGCTGTGATTGCTGTGCTTGAGCATGGCAGCAGCGTCTGGGTAAGTGAGCAGATGGTGGCGTGGGGCTGTGTGCATTTCTGTTCTGTCTGCACCACTCACTGGCCTTGAGACCTTGGGCAAGAGAACAAGAGAACTTCTTTTTGCTTTATTTTCCTCATCTGTAAAGTAGGATGTGTTAGGATTCCTCAGAGAAAAAGAACCAATAGGGGTGTGTGTGTGTGTGTGTGTGTGTGTGTGTGTGTGGAGAGGGAGAGAGAGAGAGAAAGAGAGAGATTATTTTGTTTTAAGGAATTGGCTCAAGTGAAATCTGCAGGGCAGGCCAGCAGGCTGAACACCCAGGAAGAGTTAATGTTGGAATTCAAGTCCATCTACAGCCTGGAGGCACAATTCCCATTGGTCTCAGGGGATACCAGACTATTTTCTCTCTTTTTTTTTTTTAAAGATTTATTCATTTATACAAGCACTGGGTACAGTCAGAAGCACGGGAGGGTAAGAGAATTCACCAGAGCCAGAGCGGGGAGCAGAGCAGGCAGAAGGACCGAAGGACACTGCTGAGGGGAGCAGCGGGCGGCAGGAGAGGTCTGCACGCCATGTGGGACCCTCGCCGGCGGCCGGGGATCAAACTGGCGCTGCAGAGGCTGCGGGCAGCCGCGCAGCCCAGCGCTCAACCACTGCGCCACCAGGGGAGGCCCAGACTATTTTCTCTTAGGACCTGCAACTGATTGAACAAGGCCCACCCATGTGGACTCTCTATGGAGAGTCATCTGCCTTCCTCAGTCTAAAATTTCAATGTTAATGTCATCCAGAAAGTACCTTCATAATCATATCTAGCCTGGTATTTGAGCAAGTATCAGGGCTCCATGGCCTAGCTGAGTTGACGCGTAAAATTAACCACGGCATGGGGCTAATAGGCTCTACTGTCTAAGGTTGATGTGAGGCATGAATGAGCTGTTATGTATAAAGAGAACTTACCTGACATGATTGCTCTGGCCCCAGAAATGGACATGCTCTCTCCTTTTGCTCAGCCTCAGGAGCAGCTGAGGACAGCGGCCTGAAATCACAGGCACGAATTCCACTGAGAGAATCTTTGTTGTTGTTTATTCTCGTAGCAAGAAGCAAACACATTGCTCTTTAATTTTCCTTGGCAGGGGCTGTGGCGAGAGTGGATGCCAGCCCCGTGCTGGGCCCGGGCGGTGTGCACCCCCACCTCCTTCTCCAGCCTCAGGTGAACGGCCTCCCGGCAAACATCTTTCGTGGAAACCATCCTGCAGCCCCCAGCGCCTTGCCGCCTGACTCCCTTTCAGTTCAAACCCCTGCTCTATCTCCTTTACCCAGCTGCACCTTCCGTGGCCGTTCCCTACCTGACAGGCAGAGATACCTTTGATAGCCAGGCGTGCATCGCGAGCCCAGCACACGCTCCGTTTGGAAACAGAATTTTCATTCTGCTTGGGTTTATGGGGGGAAGATTAAAACTGGAATAAATGCAAAAGATCCTGGAGGACAATGAGAAAGGAAACCTTGGAAGCAGAGCAGAGAGGGGGGTGGCGTGGGAGATGGGACGGGAGGGGTCGGCAGGACCAGGGAAAGAATAAACTCAGCTTTCATCGTGGAGTCTGGTCCATTTCTGAACCCTGATGGGGACGGTCATGAATTTTAAAATGTGTCTCTTCTGCCGACAGCTCCAGTCATAAAACCAACACTCGGAGTGTTAAGGCTGCAGCGGAGCGGGGCTGGCTGGGCCAGGCAGGGGCCTGAGTAGACAGACTTTGAACACCGGGCCCTCGGCTTGCTCTGGAGGTCGCACCCTCCTCTCTGCCAGCGCAGGGAGCCCTCCGCAAGGCCTGGCACCAGCAGGTAACTTCCCACGCTGGCCTCAAGCCCTGCTGATCACTAGTGTCACCCGCCAGCCACAGGCCACCTGCCTCGACCTTGAACACCTGGAGCCCCAGGGGGCCAGTGACTTTCTCACCAGGGTTTTGACAGCTGTCCACAAGGAGAAGCTGCGTGGCTCCCGATGTCTCAGAGGAGGGTCAGAGTGAGCAACTCACCACCTGGGTTCTCGTGGGGTCACGGCTCCTGTCGGTGGGAGGTGAAGGTGGTGGCTGTCTTTTCTGGCCTGGCACAGGTAGGTAGCGGTGACCATGGTCCTAGGAGCCTTGGGACGATTGTCAGTAACTCTTACAAAAATGCAGGCTCTTGAGAAATGGAATTTCTGGTTTAGAAAATACGTCTTTTTTACATAGACGATAGATGGGCGTATTTGGGGGAGCAGGAGTTGAAATACTGCAATCATGATTCATCTGTTTATACCTTGAGAGTTGGGGATATGAGTTTTCAAAGAGCAGGGACAGTGGTGGCGCAACAAGGTTGTAGACATCTATCAGGAGCCATAAAGCAGCCAGCGGTACCCCGACAATTTTGCTCCCTAACAGGAAGCTCAGCCCCGGAAGCAGAGGCAGGTCTTCTGGGAAGAGAGCTGCACACACAGCTTACCCCGTAGAGACATTGGGGACTTCAGGGGACCCATTGCTCACGTCTGGGGGATCGCAAAGAAGCCCTTCACAGAGGATGGACATGTGGGAGGTGGGGGGCATAGCCTGCATTTCAACACTGGGACTCCTGAGTTTTTCACTTTTGGGGAGACTCTTTTCAGAGTACGAGACACACAAAACGGCCTCCTCATTTAACAAAAAAAAAGTATGACAGTAAACTGGTTAACATAAAATGTGATTTTTTTTTTTTTAAGATTTATTTTTTTGTTTATTTATAGAAGCACTGGATACAGCCAGAAGCGCGGGAGGGTGAGAGAATTCACCAGAGCCAGAGCGGGGAGCAGAGCAGGCAGAAGGACCGAAGGACACTGAGGGGAGCAGCGGGCGGCAGGAGAGGTCTGCGCGCCATGTGGGACCCTCCTCCGGTGGCCGGGGATCGAACTGGCGCTGCAGAGGCCGCGGGCAGCCTCACAACCCAGCGCTCAACCGCTGCGCCACCGGGGAGGCCCAAAATGTGATATTTTAACTAAGTTCAGTGACACCAAAAGCACTTTAACTGTCCTCACCCGATCCATCTCCAGGACTATGTCATCATCCCAAACCCAAACTCGGCTCTGAACAGCGACTCCGGTTGGCCTCCTGCAGCGCCGGCAGGGACCGTTCTACTTCGTCTCTGTGAACCTGATTCTCTAGGTACGTCCTAGAAGTGGAACTACACAGTATTTATCCTTTTGTGTCTGGCTTATTTCACTTTGCATAATATCTTCAAAGTTTAGTCATACACCACGCATTAGAATTTCATTTTTTTTTTAAAGATTTTATTTATGCGTACAAGAACTGGGGTACAGGCCAGAGGTGCAGGGGGTGAGAGGACTCACCAGAGACAGAGTGGGGAGCAGAACAGGCAGATTGATTGAAGTACATCGCTGAGGGGAGCAGCGGGTGAGACAGGAGAGGTCTGCTGCGCCATGTGGGTTGCTCCCTGGCCGGCCTGGGATCAAACTCTGTGCTGCAGAAGCTGTGGATTGCTTCCCAGGGCGGTGCTTAACCCCTTGCACCACCAGGGAGGCCCTGAATTTCATTTCTTTATTTTGTTTATTTTTTATTGTGGTTAAATATACATGACATACTATTTATCATTTTAGCCATTCATTCATTCATAATTCAGAAGCATTAAGTACATTTGCAACACTGTCAACATTACCGTTACCAATACCAACACATTTTATCATCTGCGACATAAACTCTGTCCCCTTTAAGCGCTACCCCTGTCCCGCCAGCCTCCGGTGTCCACGATTCTACTTTGTGTCTCTGTGACTTGCTCATTCTAGATAGTGCATGGAAGTGGAATCAGATATTTTCTCCCTCATGTTTGGCACAGATTATTTCAGAGTATGGATTGGCAAAGACTCCTCAAAGGCAGAAGAGCAGCAAACATGAGGATGACAGACTTGCACTCGGCTGTGTAGGTCACAGCTTCCTCAGAAGCGGGTGGGGACCTGCAGTGCAAAAACAGAAACCTGAGCAACATGAGGACAAGCGCCCTTAGGGAGATGTGGCAGAGGTGCCCAGCTGTGGAGAGGGCTGCAGCTGCCACACAGAGAGGGTGCTGAAACCCTCTGGTTCTCAGCGCTTCCTCTGCCTTGAGTTCACAGACAGAGAACAACCTTCTGAAAACCTGACTCCAGGATTATGCGCTCGGCTGTGTCCCCGGCCTAGTGCTTCATCGCTTGCCTGGGCCACAAGGAGGAGGGTAGAAGTGCAAAGGTGGGTTCACTTGTCCGTTTGAAGACCAGCCGTGCCACGCCCAGTGCTGACACAGGGGCCAGTTCATGTGCTCGGGGAGGCTCAATCGCCACCTGAGAAAAGTGGGGTGAGAAGCGCCCCGTCTCGTGGGGTTAGCATGAGGAATATATGACGTATTCTGTGGGCGCCTGACGCGCAGCGAGCGCTCGGTAGTGATAGTCGTCTTGACAATTTATTGTTGACATATCCGTTTCCTGTAAGTTTTGTTAACACGACTCACTATCCTTGAGTCCAAACAACTTTCTGACATTGAAATTGAATTTGGGTGTGTGTCTGGCTGGGAGCCGGGCGTTTCTGTGGATTTGCTGGGCTGAGTGACACCTTGTGAATCTTGCGAAATCAACTGTTTTGTCTCCCTGTTGACATTTCAGTCTTACCACTCATTTTCCTTTCTGAGCATTAGTGGAAATGGAGAATTTGAAAGTGTAAGCTCGTTTGTGGCGAATAAATATTAGACTGCAACCTGATTGGTCATGTTGCTAGGACTGCACCTCAGTAGGTTTGAAAGATGTAAATTTGCAATTGCCCACCCCCCCCAAGGCAAATTCACCTGCAGTGGGACCCACAGGCTTATGCAGTTTGAACTCTCTTGTCTGTCCTGGGCATCTTCCCTGAGTGTCTTTGGGGAGTCTGCTCCAGGGGGTGTCTTGGGAGTGGTCTCCATGCCTGAGGGAGGGGTCTACTTTCTTGGGGACCTGCTTGGCAAGAGCTGAGATCCACTTGGGGGGTGGGCAGCCTCCTTGCAGACTCAGCCCTTATACACCCTTGATTTCTTGCCTTTGGCCTGGAAGCCCACCCACGGGTCCTATTTCTCCAGCCTTGGGGGAATTCCTTCTCAAAGGCCTCCGGCTCACTTTCTGACACCCCACTCACGTTATCCAGATATTTTTATTAACTGCAAATCTCAAAACCAAGGCATCGTGGTCTCTATCCCCTTCCCCTGCGGTGCCCTGCGGCTCCTGTGGACATTTGCTCAAGCCCGGGGCTCCATTTAGCTATGGGTGTGTCAGGGCGGATGGTGAGCGCCCATCTGCCCACAGATCCCAGTTGGGTGGATTAATTAATGATTATAGAGTACTTTGAAGGTTGCAGGGCTGCTAATTATTTAGCCAGTTCCCTCCCTTCCTCCGAGTCCCCTTGACTGCCTTTTGTGTCTTTCCCTCATGGGGCGTCCTTTGAAGTGAATAGTGGGGGATGAATCAGGGGTCAGTTAATAGAGCTGACCATCCAGATGGCCGGCTGGAAAGCCCGTCTGGATGCCGCTTCTCCACGGGAGTTGGGATTTTCTACGAGACCTGCAAGGCCACATCCCTCTCTTTAGAGCAGACCTGGCCATGGCTCCAGAAAACCGTCTCCCAGACTGCCAAGTGGGGGTAACAGACAGCGAATCTTCCTTGCTAAGGCTTAGCCTGACGTCTTTGTTCTTGCAGGGTTTGCTCTCAGTTTTGATGTGCAAACCTTTATCTGGCCATGCATTTGCTCCTCTGCCTTTTACTGCTCTTTTCCCAGAGCAGCACCCCACAGGGAGAGCAGGGCAGGTTCTGCTCCTAGTCCTGGGCCAGCCGGGAGGGACCGGCTCTGAGCTATCCCAGGAGCCGTGAGTTCAGGTGTCCGTGGAATGAGGACACCGTCTTGTTTCTCTGCCCTCCCTCTCGCCCAGCAATGCACAATATTGAAATAAAGTATATTTTCTGTGATTTTGATGTCTGGATCTGTGCCTACTTTTTACATGGGGGCAACCCAGGAATTTAATAAATATTGCAGGAAGTGGGATCTTGTGTCTATGTCCCTCTCCTGAGCCCCAAAATGGGTTTGGGCATACCCACGTGCATCTTAAAGGGAGAGAAGTTTGGGGTACAGAAAATCCTGGTTGACCTTATATCTCTCGGTGAGGACTGAGAAGCTCTTCTGGGGGTAGAGAAGTTAGAGGTACAAAGAGGAGGTGACACCCAGTTCTAAAGCTCTGTCCAGTCTGTGGGGGAGGAAAGTATAAAAACATTGAAATATGGAGGATGAGACTTTGAGGGTGTCTTCGGCCTTTTGCTCTATTTGTTTCCTTCTGATGAACAGGTAGACAGAAACTTTGCTTGTCCTTGCCTCGGGATACTTTCAGGACGGAAATCAGAAGCTGCTTGAAGTCTAAGGCTTTTGCAAAACTCCCCAGTTCTTTGAAGAATGGATGCTGGAGCCTCAGGGGTTGAGGAGTGGAAGGAGAAGCCTTTGAGGGGACCCCCGTGTCACCCCAAACTCCCCAGATGAACCTGAGAAGCTGCTAGACCTGGAGGCCCCTGTAGGTTGGGGTGATGGGGAGCCCTGAGGACCAGGAAGGGCTGACCAGCGAGAGAAGTGGCTCCCCAATGCTTCGGGGACTGAGGAGGCCCAGTCATGGCTGCACCCTGGCAGAGGAGGGACTCTCCAGCATGTGCTGGAGTTTCTGCTACCCCCGCAGGACCCGGCTCAGAGCCACCAAGATCGTTTGCATGAAAACAACTGCAGACTGAAGAGGTACTAACCTCTGCACAAGTACCACACTAAAAAGGGGGCAGAGCAGTCACATTCATAGCGAGAGAAAGTGGAATGGGGGTTGCCAGGGGCTGGGGTGGAGAGACTGGAGAGTGTGTGTGGGGGAGACTTGCTGTTTCACGGGCACAGTTTCTGTCTTACAAGATGAAGAGTTGGGTAGATCTCCTGCACCACCCCATGAATGTACTTAACACCGTGGGGCTGAGCAACTGTAGCAAATGGTTAAAATGGAAATAGCACTTCACACCTGTTAGGATGGCTGTTATCAAACAAATAAAAGCTAACAAGTACTGGTGAAGATGTGGAGAAAAGGGAACACATATGCTGTTGGTGAGAAGGTAACATGGTGAAACTATTATGAAAAACAGTATGAGATTGCTCAAAAAACTAGGAATAGAACTACGGAATGATCTAGCAAGCCCACTTCTGGGTATTCACCCAAAGGAAATGAACTCATTATCTTGAAGAGAGCGCTGCACCCCCATGTTCATTGCAGCGTTATTCACAATCACCAGATGTGGAAAGAACCTAAGTGCCTGTGGAGAAATGAGTGGATACAGAGATGGGAGCTCTCCCTCCCTCTCAGTCTCCTTCCCTCCTCTCTCTCTGTCTCTCCCTCCCATACTCTCCCTCTCTCCTTCCCTCTCTGTCTCTCTCTTATTCAGTCTTAAGGAAGGTGATCCTGCCATTTGCAACAATATGGATGAACCTGATATATTTCACTTATGCTACGTGAAGTAAGTCAGACACGGGAAGAAAAGTTTCATGATAACACTTACATGTAGAGGCCTCCCTGGTGGTGCAATTGGTTGAGCACAGCGCGATGAAGGAGTCCGCAGCCTCTGCAGCGCGAGTTCGATCCCCAGCCTGCCAGGGAGCAACCTACATGGCACAGCAGACCTCTCCTGTCACACCCGCTGCTCCCCTCAGCAGTGTGTTTCGTCAGTCTGCCTGTTCTGTTCCCCGCTCTGTCTCTGGTGAGTCCTCTCACATCCCTGCACCTTTGGCCTGTATCCCAGCTCTTGTATGCATAAGTAAATAAATCTTTTTTTAAATAAAAGATATTCAGAAGATCTAGGGCTGGACCCTAGATGTGCTGCATTAAAAAAAAAAAAACTTACATGTAGAATCTAATAAAATTGAACACACAAAAGCAGGGGTAGAGCAGAGCTTACCATGGCTGGGTGGGGGTTGGAGAGATGTTGGTTAGAAGTTCAAAGTGTCAACTAAGATGATTCTAGAGATGGGCAACCCTGCATGCTGACTAGAGTAC